TTTTGAAAAAGTGTTTTTTGTAAAACGGTGTCATTTGTTTTTAAATTTTCAAAATTATTTAGATTAGTTAATAATTAGGTCCAAAAAACAAAATTTCAATAAAGCCCATTAATAATACATCAGAAAATCGTGGCCCAAATTATGGGCTTTATTGAAACTTTGTAATTTAAGTGTGCAAAATTTCTTCGTAGTTATACAACTCGAGAGTTTAAGAACAAAGTACACCTTTCTTTAGAGTTTCAGAGCTGAATATTCCAGAAATACCTTTAATAAATCTCAAAAATTACATTCTTTGCCATCTATTTAATTGAAATTAAGTGTGTGCAAATGTGATTAATTCATATTTAATTGTTTACGACTTTATAATTGGGTTGTTTCGATGTTTTTTTTGTTTTTTTTGATGAACTCAAATAAATTTGAAATAACATATAATCTCAAACAAATTCGATTTACATCAAAAAATTTTATATTCAATCTAAATATCATACAAATTATATTTTGTAAGATAAAATGTATTAATCTATATGAAAAATATACCATTTGATTTTTATTATTTTTAATTTCTCTCGTATATTATAAAAATCTCGAATTTTTCTTCTCAAATATTCTAATCTCGGGTCTTAGAATATAAACAGAGAAACCAGTAGTAGTAACACAAAAGTCATCCTTGTCGTTGTCCCAATGCACATCTCGCATGCTCAGCTCGTCATAACCTGAGAGATTAAACAAGCATGAGAATACGAGAAACCATCATATATTTTTCACTTAACAACAGACAGAGAGATAGATACCTCTTTGCGTTTCTTTAACATTTGCTCTTGGCGAGGTGAAAACTTATGCTCATGCAAACCTCGCAATGCTTGGTATATCTGATCTTCAAGTAGGCGCAGCTGGGCGGAAGTCATGCCGTCCAGCTCTCTAGCATTCAATCTCCTGGGAGTATCAGAGAAAAACCATCATCAGATGATCCATTGACCAAAACAGTGAAAGACAGTTGGGGGTGGGGATAAAGAGTCATGACTCACTCCTTTAACAGCCATAGTCTCTCGAATTTGATCTCCATGGATTCAGCACTTTGTCTCTCGAATTCTACACGAATTTTGGACTGCAATAGTAACATAAACAAGTTATAAACGATGCAGTGTGATGTGAGGCAAGGGAACAAGGAAATAAGATGATGTGAATCTTACGTACCAGGACCACTCCAGCATCTTGTCTCTCTCCAGAGCTGTCGTCAAGACAAAGACAGGCTTTAGTTTAGCGCAACGGGTTTAGTGATCAAAAATAGCAAAAGACAGAATAATGCGCTACTAATCTGACCCCAAGTGAGAGCTACAACTAACAACCTAAAGTGACCTCTCTCAGATACCAATAACATAACAGGAAAGCAAACAAATTAGATTTTACGGCGGGATCCATATACCTGATGCTGCTAGAGATCTTGCAGGGAACCAAGACCTGTCTTTTCATACCAATGCCAAGACCTGTCTTTTCATCTTCTTCCACCTCCATCTTTTTCTGTAATAGTTAAACGGAGAGTTATTGTAAGAGCTAAATACTAATAAGAGAGAAAAAGAGGTAAAGAACGTTTTTGTTTCTTCACCTTTTGGTTCTTGACAATGAGCAAGACTTGGTTAAGATGGGTTTCAAGTAAAAGCAGCTCGGCGATCCTTGCAAGTCATTCTCCTGAGGCTTGTAATCAGGGATTATTACCCGTCGCTGCCGCAGAAATCGCAGAGGACTCTCACCTTCTTCTCCTTCAAATCTCTTTGTTTCCTCTTCAGCTTAATCCTCCCTCTCCTCATGATCTCTGTTTCCAAGGAGACCAAACAAGAGGATACAAAATCGTTTTCTTAATCTTCTTGTAGACGAGCAATTCAACTATAGACCTTTTTCCTTCTTCTTTTTTCTCCAAATTATAACGGAAAACAGAATAAGGTAATAATACAATATTACATATCTAATTTGTTCGTATAAAGAAAAGAACAAAAGGAAAATCTTGAAATCCTTGAGTTTATTTTTTTATATGTAATTCTTGGTTGTTGATGGGAATTTTAAAATTTTGGTTATATGTAAAACTGACAATTTTAAAATTTGTCTTGATGGGAAAAACTTTCCCGAAGCTTCTGGTTTCATCTTCGCGACACTGCGATCTCATTTCCGGCGTGTTTGCGGCTATTT